CCGGCCGAGCCTGAAGCGAGCGACGCGCGCACTGCCGAGCCGGCCGCCGTCAGCTTCGTAGAAGTAGAGAACCAGTTAGAGAAGATGTTCGCGGGGCTGGAGGAGGAGCCGCTGGGACGGGACGCGGATGAGGCGGCGGCGCCCAGCTCGGCCGCGGCGGGCGCTGCGGGCGCCACGGCCCCCGCGGCCGCGCGCAAGCGGCGCCGGTCAGCGCCCGCGCGGTCGGACCGCGCTCAGAAGGCCCAGCGCAAGAAGGCGGACGCCCGGCGCCCGCGCAAGGGGCCGCGCGAGGCACGCGACGCGTACGACTCCGGCAGCAACGCCAGCTCTAGCAAGTCGCGGGGACCCTACATACAGGTTCAGAACACTTATTATTAATTTATTTATTTATAGTTCTTGAAAGACTTACAGCTAAAAAGGATAAAAATAACAATAGGCGTAGGTATTAATGAGCCAATAACAAGTCCTCACGTAGTTTTTTGAATAAATTTATTAATATGGTGTGCATACTATTTTGCTTATTAATATGGAAATACAGAAACTCAGATCGTGCAGACAATATGGTTATAAACAGAGAAAGAGAAAAAATACCTATTGCTGCTTAAAAAATTTGGGGCTTAATCGCTAATTATTTGAAGCATATATGCCTGTTTATACAGGTATATGCTCTTATATATGTCAAGTTCCCTAACCCTTCACATTAATCTTATATAAGAGTATAATGCTAATTTTTCTCGTCCGTCCTATTGAATCACTACCTATCTGTTACAAAACAACACCAAAACGCGTTGGCGTAGTTTTAAAGATGTAGTAAAGCATAGGGACATAGGGGCAGACAGCGGAAAGCGTCTTCGTTTTAAACTGTATAGTGATGTATGTACGTAACCGTTATAGATACGCGGACCGCGGGACTCTCCCCTGTCAGTGAGCGTCATGAACACGACGACGGCCGGCGAGGAGGAGGAGGCGGGCGCACGCCGGAAGGGGGGCGAGGACTTCCGCAACGGCGTGCGCGGCGTGAGAGGCGTGAGAGGTCTGCACGCCTCCACGCTGGGCCTGCGATACGACGCCAGCACGCCCGACGCCACCTGGCTCTGTGCCTTCTGTCAGCGCGGCCCGCATGCGGCCTCGCTCGGGGACCTCTTCGGGCCATACACACTCGACAACGACTGCGACGAGTACAGGTACTCCTACGCTTCTATATTTATAATGAAACTCCATGTTGAGAGTGATACTATCCATGGTCTCACTGAATGTAAGTTGAACTGAGAGTGCCTTCTAACTACATTTAAGTTATTTGAACAAAAGGTTTGAGCGGCGTGTGGTGAAATGAGCGGAGAGATAGCTAAATGTAAGGTATATTATAAATGTAAGGCCACATTCAAAGCGAGACTGGCGACGTGTACGAGCTAGTCCGAAAAGCTCGAACTTGTCGCGATTGTTTAATGGTGTGTGTGTTCCGTCCTGCCGACAGGGCGCTGGACGAGGCGACGCGGCGGCGCTACAGCTCGGACGAGGCGTGGTTCCACGAGGCGTGCGGCGTGTGGGCGCCGGGCGTGCTGGCGGCGGGCGCGCGCGTGTGGGGGCTGGGCGCGGCCGTGTGGGCGGCGCGCGGCGCGCGCTGC